GCTATTCATTCATAAAGGAGGAATTCTTACAATAAATGGTAAATGTAAGTGGCATATATTCTATAGAACGTGACATATCTAGAACGCAACAGTCTACAAAATCTTCTATCCTTATCATGCTTCTAAACTGCAGTGGACTTGAATCTAGAAACAGGACTTTACTGTTAAAATATATTAATTGATCATTTTCCATTAGGTGGAATTTTAAACTTTATATAAGAATGTTAAAGTACTGTCTGAAGACTTAGGTAATATGTTGAACAAAGTACATATTAATATCTATTTTAATATTTTAATAAATAAATTATCTTTGGGAAGGAGGGGTTAAACTTAAATAATTGGTATATAGATAAAAATCAAGACTCCTCTCAGTGAAAAGACTATCTTACCAAAAAGACAGAGGACCTGATTAGCCTCTTGCATACACAGAAGAGCTGTAAATCTCAGCAAATCACATGACTGCACATGTGTTTCTACAGGAGCTGATTTTCTAAGATATGCATCAATATATGCTGTGAATGAAGGTAAAAATCTTAGTTAGGATGAAGATGATAAAGTGGAAAAAGAAGGATCTAAAGATATTTCCAGCATTAATCTTCAGATTTTTACAATTAATTTAGTTCTACTATTAATCCATACTAAATGCTGATTATTGTAATAATTAGAGCTGAATAAACATTTCATGATGAATATTTACCCTCTTTCTCAGCCCATGGAATGTCCACAATTAGATTACACTTTCCTTAGTTATTCAAATATACTTGATTTATTTTTTAATTATTTCCTCTACAGACTGACCAGTTCACTGCAAGGATTCAGTAACTGCTCTTTAAAATTTGAGCTGAACAGTGTTTAGTTATAATTGGTCTCCAGTCACATGGCACCAGTTCTATTCCCTGACTAGATGAAGATAACACTTCAATCAGAAGAAAGACTCAAAGAAACAAATGTGATTTTGAATTTTTAATGGAAAAGATAGTACAGGTTGAACCTCTCTGGTCTGGGACTCTGTGATCCAGCAACTTCATGTTGCCGGACCAGAGAGTCCCTGGACCAGAGAGCCCAACTCTGGGCAGCGGAGTCCTGGTGCTTCAGCAGCCCCTCAAGGGAGGCCATGGAGCTATGGTTGCCAGATGGTTTCAAAAAATACCGAACCAAAAACAAACAAAACAAAACAAACCCACCAGTATGGTCTCTTTAAGAAACACGTGGTGAGGCTTTTTGGCCCTAACAGGCTGCTGGCAGGAAAAAAATTAGAAAGTACCAGACATTTTAGGTGTCTGGTATTTTCTGAATTTTTTTACTCAACAGGAGGCGAAAATACCAAAGTGTCCGGTTCAATACAGGACACCTGGCAATCCTACATGGAGCCCCGATGGCCCCTCGGAGCAGGCTGTGGAGTCCTGGCGGCCCCAGAGCAGCAGAGCAGAGCAGCAGAGGCTCTGAGGGTGCGGGGTCTGGCAGCTTTAGGGCAATGGAGCCCTAGAAGCCCCAGGAGCTCAGGAGCAGGGGAGCCTGGAAGAGGAGCCGACCTCCACCTGAACCAGCAAACTCACTCCTTTAGAATCAGTCAGGTGCCCAGGATGTCAGACCAGGGAGGTCCAAGCCATGGCTGATAAGTATAAACCATAGAATACTATAAACTTTTTCAATGCAACACAAGCCTTGTCTAAGGCAACAAGCTCAAAAAGTATGCTACTGTGCCCTTTTAATGAATAGGTGCCCTTTTTTCCTTGCCCTATTTGCACAATATGCCTAGGTTTTAAAACAGGGCTACTCAATTTTGGAAGCCCTGGGGTCCACAATGATACTCACAGCACGTCAAGGGCTGCAACTTAATTGTGACTGCATATACATGAAAATATATATGCAAATATATGCAAATAGCTTCTTTCACACTCACAGGCATGGATACAAAGATTAAGGCAAGACTACACAACACGCAGGCCCCATTGAAGTCAGTTCTGCTGATTTTAATAAAATGCAATATTCCCCTTGTTTCTACCCATATGACAGCACTTTTAATGAGCAATGACAATCCAGGAATTTAACTACTAAAATGCAAATCAACAGAAGACCATTATATTGAATCACCGTTGTGGAATGTGTTCCCAGTTGAAGCCATGTTCAAAGGATCCCCCCGTGGGCGACGTGTTAAGCCCCGCGTAAACCCAAATTGCACTGCGGGCCACAAACCAACGGGCTGTAGACCTGTTTTAAAGCATGTAATCAGATCTAACTGCCTGTAGACAAGCACTCTGAGTGCTTTGGGAACCCTTTTCTCCCTGCTGTATCAAGTTGTCCCAGCCATATAAAATATACTGTTTTCAACGCTGTCCTGGAGCATGAATGCTTAACATTAACTTCTGCAAACATTTTTACAAAAAATCCTCTACCATGTTAATGTCTGCAGAAAGCAAACACAAAAGCTAGATTCATTCAGATGTGAGTTTCAGATGTCACTCACCAAAATGTTGGATATGTTCATACAAACCTAATAATTTTTTAGCTATTTTGGTTTTTCACTACTAGGACAACCAAGGACAAGTGAAAAAAATCATCTAAAAACAAATAGTGTAAGAAAACATCTGACATGAGATGTCCACCACAACGCAAAGGAAAAAGTATTTTTTAAGACATAGGAAGATTATTTAAAAGTCCTTATCTTACTAAAAAAATAAACATTAGTTTTCCATGTAAATGAAGATTACCTAGAAAGTTAAACTACTATGAAGCATCTATGTTTACATGAGGTTTATAATAACTACAAATATTAAAGAGAATCAATCCTTTAGAAGCTCAATTCAAAATGTATTCTTATAACTTATAATATTTTAAGTAATAAAGCCTCGTTCCCCTCCTTTGTTATTTTTCATATAAGAATTATTTTAATTTACTGAATAGAACATCTGTAGCACAGAGATTAAATATGCTGATTCACTTTTTACCTTCGCCAAAATACAATCTGACTTGTTAGCATGGTACATTCCAAACAATTTTGTTGTCAGAATTTCAAGTTGTCATACATTTCTGTAGTCAATAAAACTAAATTTTGTTCAACTTTCCACCAAGACAAGGCATCTTACATTAAAAATATCAGACTTCTGTTTGATTTTGGTGTCATCCTGCTTAGTACATTCAGGACCATGATGATTTTACAAAATTTATCACCAGCATACTGATGACTCTCAGTATCTGCTTTCTCTTTCCATCACTGAGGTTTGTTCAGTGTTTAATAAAATAAGTCTTTTGCAATTCTGTTTCTTCATTTAGAAGACGAAAAATTAAATAAGAAACATTAAAAACATGCTGCTTTTTACCATTAGTGTTGGGTAAGAGAAATTAGAAGAATTTTTCATTCACTAATATGTTCTCTTTACCTGGCCAGTGCTACTAAATATTAATACGTAATTTGACTTTTATGACTCCTAGAATTATAGCAACAAATTACACAAAAACTGCATTGTTACATGTTTTAGCTACTCTATCATTTTAAATATATTTTTGTTAATCTAGAAGAAATCATCTGTTAACTGGAGAGGCACCCCTGCATAACACACAACTAACTTAAAATGTAAATTGCCAAACTATTTTTAGCTGCTGCAGAAAAAAATATTCCTGGCCTAGGAAATAATGAGTTCAGGCATTGTGTTCATTTTGTTTATCAAGCAGCTATTCAGCCTCTAGTGGGGCCCAAGTGCTTATGCAAGCAAAAGCTTTTAAGAGTGCCTGCAGCTGCAATCCTGGCTTCCAGGTAGGCTGCAGGTTCATAGCACAGCTGCCCCAGGCCATCTAAACTATCTCAGTTCCATCTGGAAGTACGGTTAAAATGAGATTTCAGATTCAGGGTTTTGTATATCACAGTGAAGGAGGAAAGGGGAGTGACTAGAAGACATCATCTATACTTCAGTTTTAATACTAAAATAAAATAAAATAAAATAAAATAAAATAAAAAAGAGCTCAGACCCTTTTTGCTCCTACTGTATTACGGTTGCCTGTACAGTGCATTCTATTCAGCCTATATGGCTTTGAGTTAGGACTCATCCAACTGCACCTGCACCAGTGTGTTAAGTACTGCCAAATAAAAGCCCAACATCCATTTACACAACAAAGAGATATACCCTGCAAGGCAGGAGAGCTTCTCTCCCCTCCCGTCTTGTTTATTCTTAACAGGGAGGGAAAAAAAAATCTTTCCTCACTTCAGTGGGGATTTTTCACTTCATGTGGATTTTTAAATGAAGATTCATTTATAAACAATTTTCATCCTTTAAAGAATAAAGTATATTTAATACCACAAAACACCCCTCTAGCATTAGATTATCACAGCCATTAATGATTTTTCCACCACAACCCTTCCAACCTTTTTCATCAAAGCCCTTTATTCTCAAAGGATAAATTTTCTAGCAAAGAGGGATCAACAAACTAGTTGCTTGAAAGCCTTCCTGATGGTAGGCTGAAGTTAGGAAAAGCTTAATGAAGGCTTTAAAATCCACCAGGGCTTCACAATGAACATCTGACTTGGTGATTTATGCATATTAATAACCTCAGTTCTACTGAGGCAAGCTGAGCTGTACATGTCCTCCGAATCTTAATGTCTTCAGCTCCATTGGGATTATTACAAATGTAAATTTCTAAGATTCTCAGCTATTAATCTCTGTCTGTCCTCCTGTTCAGCAACATAATGACTAATTAAACATCAAAAGACCTGTACAGGAGATCTTCTTTGACAGCTCCTGGTCCAGCTCTCTTCCCAAGAGGGGAATTCAAATGACAGGGACAAGTGGGTAAGTGCATATGAGTGAAGTACAAACCATTGATATGAAATCTAAAAACTATGCATGAAATGTATATTTACACCTTAGGAACTGCTGCAAAATAGCGTGGCTGTTTGTGGTCACTAGATAAAGCCTGCCTAATGATAACTGAAAAGACTGTGCATCAAGTAAACAGTGCGCTTTAAGCCCAATTTGTTTACTATAAGTTAAAAAATCAGTACTTACAGAAGAAGGCAAACCAGGGGGCACCTTTCTTACTTTCTTTGTCTGTAAAGGATCTGCACACAGAAAACAACACATTTCATCAGCTATGCTGTGTTAGAAAGGAGTAACAACAAGGAACAGCCACACTAAACAACTGATTATTTTCCCCACAATACAGTCCCCATTTTCTAGCTTCATACAACTTTTCCTCTGCACCAATGAAAGGTGTCTTAAACACATTAGAAGAAAGTTACAATGATTAACACATTTGTGCCTTTTTCTACAATCCTGCCCTTGCTCACGTTACCTTTGATCTCAGGGGATTCTCCTTGCGGAAATGCAGTGACCCCTGACAACAACAACACTATTAGATATATTGATACCGTAGTGCATTCACTAAACAATGGCCTGTAAAGTGTATGAGGTGGAAGGTGGATTAACTGTGGACATCAATTAATCCCTTGCCTGTATTCTTGGTAAAATTAGAATTGCAAACACCTTTATAGTACAATAAAATTGAAATTAAGCTAAACTGTGGCTTTTAAAAACAATAATTTCATCTAAATGGATTACAGCATTCATATGCAGAGTTTATTGCAGCACCTCAGCTACCAGCAACAGTGAAGCTGATTAAACAACTAGTTAACACTCTTCACAAGTCACCAAGACAATCAAACCATATTTTTCAGAATATTTGGAAAGTTGAAAATATGGTACCCACTTCTCTACACCAATAATTCACTTCCATGTCACTAGGGAAGCCAGCTAGTACAGCTGCATACATTAAGAACTGGAAAAAAATGCACAAAATAAAATTTAATTCAACTATAGTCAATGTGCAAATTAGGTTTCCTGGCATTACAAGTCTGCCACAGTAAACAATTTTGTCTGTTGACATCATCATTTGTCTGTTGACATCATCATTTGTACTTTGGATTCATCCAGTTTTCCACAACACAAAATGAACTCTTTCCATCTTAATTTAGAACTACAATGGCAAATGTAACATTTGGATGTAGCAAGCTGAAAAGTATCTTCTTCCTCCACTGGGTAATGAAATGGAAAGATAATAAAGGGAACACATTTATTTTCTATTCCTCACTTCTCTCCAGGATATCTCTGCTATGATATGTATTATATTATGCTAGAGAAAAAAAAGTTACTTACCTTTTGTAACTGTCATTCTTCAAGATCCCATTCCATTCATTATGAGTGTGCACCCACATGAAGAGTTGTTGGAGATTTTTGCCTTAGTGCAGTCAGCTGTGGTGCCCTTGAGTGCCATTCTCAAGCATCAGTACATCAGGTGCCACAGACCCTATGCCTTCTCACTTCCTTCTTGCTGGCAACTCCAACAGAGGGTTAGAAGGGTGGGTAATGGAATGAACATGAGCAACATATCTCAAAGAACAACAGTTACCAAATGTTTATTATCTGAATGCTTGCTCATGTCAATTCCATTCTTCGTGACTCACAAGCCATGTCTCTGGAGCTGGGCTCAGAGTTCAAAGTTGTGCAGCTTGCAATAATGCTTTACCAAAGCCAGTGTCATCTCAGCCTTGCTGGGTAAGAGTGTAGTGAGACGTGAACATGCGAATGGATGCCTTGGTGGAGTCTCTAAAGATACCTGGATTTGGCAATTGGGCCTGGAAGGATGCTGCTGAGGTCTGCGCCCCAGTCAAGAAGACTGCTACAATTGCTGGCGAAGGCACTTTTGCCTGATCATAGCAAAACTGGATGCATGCAATGATGCATAATGAAATTCGCTGAGACAATCCTTCACCTCATCTGCCACTATTAGGAACAGCTGTGTCAACTTACAGAAAGATTTGGTCCTTTCAATGTAGAAGACTAGTGCTTTCGTAATGTCCAGGGAGTTCAACCTAAGACTGGCAAGAATATGTCCTGCCTTGTGTGGAACTGCAAAACCACCTTGGGCAAGAAAAGCTGGGTGTGGCTGCATCTGGACCTGTCCTTGAAAAATCACTGTATAAGGCAGTTTAAAGCTAAATCCTCTAATCTCAGAGATCTGTAGGGGAGACATCACCACCAGGAATGACTCCTAAAAAATGGAAATGAGCCATGTAAGCACTCGAATCAGGTCCCATGAAGGGACACGCTATCCGAATCAGGGATAGAGTTGTTCCAGAACTTCTAAGAGCCAGACCACGATATGAGCAAAGACCAATCTGCCCTGGAATTAGGGATGAAAAGCTGATATGGTGCCAAGTAGACCTCCATTGATGAAACAGACTACACCTGGGGCTTGAGATGCAGAAGACTGACATTCAGGATTGACTGCAGCAAGGCCTACTCAGGCCGAATATCTTGGGTCAAGGCCCAAAATGTGAAATACTTCCATTTGGCCAGATAGGTTGCTCTGGTGGATAACTTTCTACTCTCCAGTAGGACTTGCTGGACACAGGCTGAGCACTCCTGCCTTTTGGCATTCAACCATGCAGCACCCAAGCTGTCATGTGCAACACTGCCAGGATCAGGTGCAGGAGATTGCCATGGTTCTGGGATAGAAGTTAAGAGCAGAGAAGCAGCTGCAGTGGGGCTGTTACCTACAGGTGCAGCAGCATATTGAAGTAAGGCCAAGCCGGAGTTATCAGGATCATTTTGGTCCCGTCCTGCCTTATCTTCATGAGGTCTCCGTGGATGAATGGCACTTGTCAGAAGGCATACATTAGAGCCCCACACCCCAGGAATAGGAAGACATCTGTCAAGGGGTTCCAGCCACCAAAATGGACTTGATTGGGAATACAGTGCTAGCGATCTAAAGAGGCAAACTGGTGACCTGTGCTGATGCAGAGACCAGGATGGAGTGATGAAGAGCTCTGCTTCAGCTCTGAAGACTGGAGGTATTCACTTATCTTCTGGGAGGCTTTCATGGCTGACTTGCGGTTGTTACCATTTCAGCATGTGGTGCTGCCTACATTGGAGAATCCTTTTCTCTCTAAGCACCAGAAGAGGCTGAAGTGGTGCTGATTCCACTATAAGTTTGGGTCCCCTACTGCTCCCTGGAGTCATTGAGGGATCCGTTTTGGTGAAGGGGTAGGAAGTCCCCTAGGAAGATGTATCCCCATGTGGCTCCGGAATGGGCAGGCGACCCAACAGGACCCTTTACTCAATGCTCTTTGGTCCTTCCTGCTCAGTGTCAGGTCGTGCTTTTTCTACTTCTTCTTTGGCATGGGGAAAGGAGGATGATGTTGGGTAAAGTGGTCCTGCTTTTAGCAGGGGCTTGGACATGAAGACCTTCTGAGGTCTCCTCCAACCCTATTATTCTAAAGCGGGGAGGAGGGCCAAGAGAGGAGAACCTAAGGCCCGGGGCTTGGATGCAGCCCCTGGCTTGCCTGGATCCAGTCCCTGTGGCTCAGGGCTCCCTCTCCCAGCACTGGGGAGCCCGTGCTAATGCTCCAGCCCCCTACCCACCGCGGGGCTGGAGCACACAAAATATACTGGCCTAGGACCCTGGAATACAAGGGGAATGTGGAGAGTATCTTTCTCTTTCTTAGTTGAGGGCCCAACAGTTTGGTTTGGGGTTTTTTTTGTTTTATTTGTTTTTGCTTATCATTTGTGCGCAGATCCTGACTGATTTTTCTGTGTGTCAGCGGCTCTCTCACCTCTGGTGTTTGGAATGAACTATGCACTGTGCCAGGTGCAGGCTCTGGCCAGTAGATACTTACCTTCAGGCAGCACCTAGACAGCAGCCCAGTAGTACCCTCCGGCAGACTCCTTGCCTTCCATGCCCTCACACGCCACTCCAAGCAACTAGCTGCAGGGGCAATGTGCTCTCTGTGCATCATTTGCCTTTTGGGGGTGGGGAGGAGGGCTCTCTGCATACTGCCTGTACTACAAGCTCAGCCCAGGAAGCTCCCATTGGCTGGTTTTCACCCAATGGGAGCTGCGAGATTGTGTTGGGGACAGTGGCAGTGCACAGAATACATGGCCCCTGCAACTAGCTTCTCTGAGCAGTGTGAAAGAGTGCGGCAGGCAGGGACTCGACCAGAGGCTCCTGTTGGGCCATTGAGTGGTGGGTGGGTCAGATATGATAGTGTAGGAAGCTAGACTTGGTCCACAGATCATTTTTTGCTCACTCCTGGCTTAAAACCATGAAACTAGGGCATACCCCATCAGGAACAAAATCCCCACTGGAACCTTAACTTGCTATTTCAAAAAACTCAACTATTTACAGCTCTAATACACAAATGAAACAAGGAAACCGCTGTTGACTTGCTTAGGAAAAGGAGAGAGATGCTCTGACCAACCCCATGAGCACTAAGAAGGAACTGAAAGGCCAAAGGGCTGTTGGAACCTGATATACCAACACACTCCAGGTGGCATCACAATCAACCTTATGGATATTGCTAAGGCAAAAATCACCAACAACTGGCATGCACTCACAGAAAAGAGAGTCAACATGAGCAAGCAGTTGAAGAGGAACTACACTTCAGAAATGTTTACACTGTATTTTCTAAAATTACTGCACGTATTTTTAGGGAGGTGGGCATGGGCTGAGAATACCTCTCCTTTACAGCCACAAATTCTCAGGTCTTGAGTTGCAGCCACTCAGTTCCCGCAAGGACAAGAAGGACTCCACTATAGATCTGCAAAGGTTTGCCCTCCCCCCACCTTTTTTCCTTTTAATAAGCACCAGAAGCTAGAATAAAATTCCTCTGGAAACACCAAATTGGACCAAATCTTATAACAAAATCTCATGACACCAACCAATTTTAAATAGTTTCCACATAAAATCATAGTTTATCCTAAATTTTAGGATTGGAGATCCCACTATGCAAGTTTCACATCTCTAGTATCTCACTTCACATTCAGTGTCATTCTACCTGTGTCCATAGGGGAGACGTATGCCGTTACCAGGTACCAGTCCCATTCAACACCTAAGTATACTACTCTACAGCATTTGGTCACTGTTGATTCAATCAGCACAAGAATAAAGATCATTCCCAGCAACTGGAATTGTGTCCTTGTCTGCACATTTGTGCCCTTTTCTAAAATCATGCTATATGCTCACCTTAACTTTGATTTTCAGAAGTCAATTATCCAAAAAGGATTACATTAATGTGAACTAGCATACTTTTAGTTTGCATTTACATGGGGGAATTAACAGTGCAACACTTTGGTCTTAAAAGGAGAGCAGTGAAGACAAACCCTCAATCTCCTACAAAATTGTCTATCACCCTTGCTCTAGCACCCAGCCAGCCTCCTCACAAGGTGCTCGACTGAGTGACCAGTAAGTCTACATTCTCTTTAAATGTTCCTGTTCTCAGCCACATCCTGGACAGCTTTACAGATTTCTTTATCAACAGTTCTCATCTGTGTTAAGAAGCATGTGTTAAAAAGGACAGTGTAAAAAAACAAAACAAAGTGCTCTCTATCCCCAAAATTAAAGGGCAATTATCTTCGTGAATGAGATTGAACGTCAGAAATGCACAAATGGGAGCCAGTTGTAATTTTTGTAAAGGATAATTCTACCAAATCTGACATGTCTAATTGAAGACATGAAAGACATTACTTCAAACATATTCAGTACCTATTTCAATATGTCACACAAATGGATAATTTCTAACAACTGCTAAAACTCCAAGAAAAGAGGTCTCATTTTATGAAGTTTTGTTGTGGATAAACAATGGTTTAAATTGTTAAGTTACATACGGTTAATTTACATATTCTATGTGGCTTAAATAAATCTTCATTTGATGTATATAGGTAAAACTAACATGCACGAGAAGAACCAGAAATGTGCAGAAATAAGCCAGACAACTACAACAATCCTGGGATTGGGGGAGGGAGAAAGCCCTGTCAGACAGAGGGAAAAGGCCCCCACCGACTGGGAGGCTTATGGGGGAGAGAAAAGGCTTCGGCTAGGCCGGGGAGGAAGGCCCCCCTGCCAGATGGAGGAGAGGGCTGGAGGGAGAAGGCCCTTGCTGGTCGGGGAGACTGGGGGCGGAAAAAAAGCCCTGCTCCCCGGGGTGGGAGAAAGCCCCACCAACTGGTACCCTGTACCCTGAGCCACTCCTCTCCCCCAAGCCTCATTCACACCCTTCCACATCTCTATCCCCCTGCTGTGAGCCCCTCTATAACCTTCTACCATGTAGGGTAACCATTAGTCCTGTTTTTCCCAGGCAGTCCTATATTTAAGGGTTGTTCCCAGCATCCCGACTTTAAAAAAAAAAACCAAACAGGCACCTTGTCCAGTATGTCTCCTGCAGCAGGGGGCAGGGAGGAGCCACCAGCACTCAAGGCTTCAGCCACTGAAGCTCCAGCACCGGTGGCTCCTCTTCCCTCCCCACAACTCTGGCACCAGCAGCTTCTTTCTCCCCTCACCCACAGGGCTAGAGCCCTGAGCACCGGCGACTCCCCTTCCCTGAAGGGTTGAAGCCCCAAGTTCCGCCCCATCCCCCCGCAGGGCTGGAGCCCCACGCACCAGCAGCCTCTGCTTGGTGTTCTATATTTGGCATGGGGAAATATGTTCACCCTACTACCTCGACTCCTGCACCCCCCACAATGTCAGCCCCCAGCCTGAAGGACCTGGGCAATGCCAAGTAAGTTTACTAGTAAAGTAATATAAATTACAATCTGCTGGACTACATAGTTGATATAAAGACCTTACAAGTTGCAACAGTCAGATGTTCTGTCAATGGCTAACAATAAGGTCCACTTACATTCTGGAGTTGCTCCAAGATGAGGCACATAATATTTAATTGTGAACAGTCTTAAAAAACACCCCTGAAGCATATTTTACTAGCAACATAACAAATCTGTTATGAATCTGATGGTATGCACTAAATAAAAATTATTATACTATCTTTAACTGCTACAAAATTAACAGGATCCTTAAACCAGCTACACTCAACTCTAGATCAGCCTGAATAGAGTAAATTCAATAAGGGATAATTGTTCTTTCCTTTGCATTTTCATAGTGTATAATAGTAATGACCTCAAGGTCAGGCATTTCTAGAAATTAATGATGGCCTGGGTTAAGGGCACTCAGCTACTTCAGCTGGTCATCAATTGGTATCCCTCTGTCATTATTGCTTGTAGAAGTAAGATTTTTGTAATGCAATACTGATCAGTGCTGAACTAAAATCAATGTCTCAAGCATATTATCCCTTATTTAGCTACCTCAAGTAGCAAATAGTGCCCTAAAAAGAATTATTTGCAATATATGTGTGTGTGTGTGTGTGTGTGTGTGTGTGTGTGTGTGTGTGTGTGTGTATATGTATATATATATATATAAAATGATGTCTAAAATAAGGCAGATGTGAAAAGCAGATTAGCATTAAAGGTCTAAGAATAGTCCATAGTACTGACCAAGAACTGATGAGTCATGAAGTGGTCTTCGGCGTGGATTTGTAGTAGCAAATGGGTAATACGTTGTTCCAGGTTTTCCTGAGGATGACAACTGACCAGGGCTTCCAAGCCCCATATCTGATCGTAGGAGACTGGACTGTAGAACAAACAATGATAATCAAATTACTGTAATTACAAAGCTTTACATTATGTTATATATGAATTATTAATTACGCTAGCTGCCAGTGGCACTTATAGACCTTGATAAAAACTGAATAAACGGCTTAACATCTAAAGAAATGTTTATATGTATTATTATTATTCCGAGAACGTACTTTTGCAAGAGCAGAGAGACCAATAGCCCAATTCTAAAGAACAAAAGTTATTTGTCTGTAAATCTGGGAAAAAGACTTAATTCCACTTAAAAGCTCTACCTACTAATACATCAGACTACACAGTAAACAAAATATATAGTTATTTAATCTGTAATAAAAATGGATTAAACTGTTAAAAGATATCATATCTATAATGTGAGATTAGGATTTATTATTCAGGTTTAGTAGGCATGCATTGGTGAATTCATACAGAGAAATTATCCTCAATATCAATCTAACACATAAAAGACAAGGTATATACTGATTACATGTACTATGTGGAATATTTCAAAATAGTCAAAATAAGTAATTCTTTATTTACGCTTGCAGAGAGAATCATTGTGTAAAGCATCATTTTAATCTTGCTTTTGCCTGGTATTGGGTTTCATCACTAACCCTAATCTTGGGCTGAGTTTTCATCGTTGCAGAGGGCTTTGCCACTTAAAGTGGAAATCAAACGGAGTTCTGCAGTTACAGGTTGAAACAAACCCCAAGCTCAGGGTGAAACTCATGGTGTTCTTTATAAAGTAAGTATATGGCTACTGAACAAAAGCAGCTCATTCTCTAAAACAGTAACACTGAATACCTCACACAGTTTTCCCTCATACTCTGTAAACAGTCCACACTGCTCGGGCCATTTCTTATATAAAAATTTGGCATCTATAGTAATATACCTTAATGGCAACTCTGAGCCAACTAGCATCTGGTTCTTTCATCTTTTTCCTCATCACCTGAAGCCTGGTGCAGACCCAACTCATTTACATTGTGTTTTATAGCTTTACTTGTATTGTACTAATCTAATTTGTGATAAAATGAACCTCAAGGATAATTATGCAGATAGAAAGAAGAGATGCTAAAAGCATGCTGCTGTGTATTGGAATATCTTAATATTGTTTGCCTGGGCTTACACTGGGCTAACCATACCTAATAATTGAGTTGCAGGACAATAAGTGGCAGGAAATGTTGAAAATAATGTATCATTAAACATTAAAATATGCACATTTAAACAGAGTTTCACAAGTAGCAGAGTGTTTTACAGGGGCTAAAAGTTACCTTCGATTTTTAGCAATCTTGCAAATCAGATGATGTTAACAATTCAATATACAGATGGCATTAACATTCAAAATTTACCTCAACTCTAATTTTGTGATGCACAAAAACAAGCTTAATATTTGTATCTCCTCTTTCCTTTAGTTCTTTCCTTAATCCCAGCCAATCTGGCTTCCACTCTCATTGCTCCACTGAAACTGCTGCCAGTGATTTAGAGTCAATACAATGGATCTGTGTCACTTCACTTTGCAACTCCTGTCATGACTAGGAGAAGAGTGGTGTATCTACAGCATTGTTGTTCTCTTGTGATACCCAGCAGCCAGAATGGCCCATTGGCACACAAGTTACCGTCACCTTTGTCCCCATCTTGCACTCACTAGTACAGCACTTACATGTATCAGCGCCAGGACCAAATTAACACTTTTTCTCCTCCACGCTCTTTAATCTCCTTCTGTCTATTGTTTTTTCTACATCACACCATAATCTTCTATATCACTCAGGCCTGTAACCTGTGTGTGTTCTCTTGAACTCTGCCCTCGCATTGGTCCAGAGATTTAGGGCTCCCTCATCCAACCTTTGCTACCTATTTCTCTGAAAATTTCCAAGCTCTGTTCTGTTCTTTAAGTTCCCATTTTGATCCCATCACCCACACCTTCATCTTTTCCTGTCTTGACTTCTGCGACTTCTGAGAGGCTGATGGTTATTCAAGGCCACTAGTTCCTCCCATTTGTTCTTCTGAAAAGCCATCAGAATAAAATACAGCACAGGGACTGCATAGAGCAATAAACAATTCCATGTTGCTTTATTATGATAAAAGACTTAATACCATACTACCTTTGCAACCACTCTCCCTCGGCGGTCAGATACCATTTTTTTTTTTTGCTTCTTTATGATGAATAAATAAAGCACAAAAACTTTATCTTAAAAATAAAAAGGGATAAGAGGAGGCAAGTTGGTGCTTTGTTTTAACATTAACTTCAGGAATACCAAGTCTCATTTCCTCATTTTAGTTGGAGGATACAGAGATATTAGCTGTTTCTTATACATCTTCTCTTCCAGCACAGTACAGCATAGCTAATTGGTTGCTTAAGTTGAAATATCTTATTTTGAATTTGGGCACATCTGCACAGCACTTATTTTGAAATAGAGCATTCTTCCTTTCACTTCTCTTATTCCTCATACAATGAGTTTTACAGAAGTCAGAATAAAAAGACTGTTATTTTGAATTTATTTTGAAATAAAGGGCTTGATGTATAGATGTGCAATATGTTATTTAGGAATAACGTCAATTATTCCAAAAAAATCCACTGCTGTGTAGATATATCCAAAAAGTTTTAAAACATCCCGAATTAAAATAGCTGATCACTCAATCAGATCTCATATTCTTGATATCTGTGATGGCATAATCTTACTAGTTTGTCTAGAGAATCTTCCAGGAAAAACAAAGTAGGCAATGTCTGAATTAATTAAAATATAAAATCTTGTAAGATGGTCTTTACAAATAATACAAAACAGTAAAAAGTGAATAAACCATTTAATTGCATTTTTCAGCTCATCTCCAAAACCCTGTCCATTTTGCCATAAGTATACTTCATTGTTCTGTAATGCTACTGAATTATAAAAGGTGCTACTTAGCATTTTGTAAGATTTTAGAGTGACCACCATGTAGAGAACTTAGCTTAGGTATGCAAGTTGCTGCTCCCAGCTATCAGCTTTTAAAGGAACAGACAAAAACCAGTCAGGGATAAGTAGCAGACCTATTCCAAAGTTGCTCAAAGGGCTGCAGAATTTGCCTGCAGCTGAAGAATGTGTGGTTTTGGAAGAAATTACCTTCCTGCTTTGTAAAAACCTCTCAAACTGACAGATACAGCAGGGGCAAGATTTCAGTCAGTATTTAAGTATCTTATGATGTCAGTTGTAAGAGCATGCAGCATTGTAATCTTCTTGGTTACAGGATATTAGTGAGACCTTGTGGGTGAGGAAATATTCTTTTATGGAACCACCTTCTGAGAGAGACAAGCTTTCAATCGACACAGATTGCTCTTGATCTTACAGTAATGACTGTAACTTTCATGACACCTTTTGGGTAATGATGATATAAAAAGATCATCTTCACACAAGCAACAAGAGATTTTACTGGAAATTATCCATGTGGGCATTCTCTATCTATCCAGGGGAAAGTGGGTACTTAGTTTCTGTAACCATAGGAGAAAACATTGGAAGGAAGAAAACAACCATTGAGTGTGAAAATTCTCTCTCCTACCAATTCATTCCCCCAAAACAGATACCCACCTTCCTCCCAACTACTAATTCTCAGCTGTCAACTTCCATTCATGACAACTACAATCTTCAATCTTCCTAGTCATCAACACGCCAAGCGCCTGCCACCTAAGTTTTGCCATAACTTAATTCTGCAAGGACATGAAATAAGTGTTGAGACATTCAAGAACTCCTCATTACTACAGTACAACTAAAAGAATCTACTCTTATTGTTTGTTATTGCATTTATTTTATACTGAAGCAGAAATATTAGTGGCTCCAGTACTGACATGCTGCAGAAACTAGGAGTCTAGTCACAGAGTTTAGAGCACAGCAATCACTGGAATAAACACTGGACTTGCATACAGCAAGTCTCAGAATATATAGCATAATGTGTACAAATCTAATAGCAGCACATGCTAATTTGTAAACATATGCTATAGAACTAGTCTCCAAGTATATTCTTCTGATGTTACTGAAACTAAGGCATGCTAAGTACAACTACTTAAACACAGTTTTTTCTCTGTTGGCCACTGTAAAATAAAAATAGATGTCATTAGCTCATCTTATTGACTTTTCTCCTTGTCTGAACCAATTGAGAAGCAATATTGATTAGGACTGATCCTGTCCTAAGGGCACTTGACAGAGAAAGGAATACACAAATACCTCTGAGGATACAATCACTAGCAAGGAAGCTTTGTATCAGTACAAGGCTCCTCTGAGCTGCTTCTGGTCCCTTCACAGGCATCAGTTCACTGAGAGGATACATAGCTTAGTTCTTAACATTAATACAGAATGTTCAAGTCCTCAGACAGCTAGAATCTCATCTGCTAAACATATATCCAATTAATAAGGCATAATCAATGACTAGTTATCCTCCTGAAACACTGGCTAACACTGCTAGGATTACTGTCATCACAGATAAATAGAAAACAGACATCATTGTTAAGTAACTGCCTCTTTGAATTACACAAAGCAAATAAACAAAACAATTAATTTTAAAAAAATTCCAATAGATACTAACCAGAAAAGAGAAAGAGTTTTATTTCAGTAACCAAGTGACAGAACAACCCTAACTCCAAAGAGGCAAACAACTGGTTATTAATGCAGGGAGAGTACACTAGAATGTACTGATTTTCTGCACCCACCCTTCAATCTAACCCAGGAAACAGCTTTGATGATGCCTCAGTGGAATCAACATGACCTGCCCCAAGAGGTAAAAATACTATAGCGCTCACCAGCTGATGGAAAAGCATTCTAGTGGTAGGGGGTGATTTGCCAAAATATGCTACAGAAGGATGAAATAAAGAAGAATCACTTCGTCACACACAGGAAAAATAATTAATTAATTGAGCAACAGACATGTACATATATTCTGTCTACACAAAGGTTATTTTTTGTATAATAGCTTTTACATGTACTGCAATATATATATATTAATTTTAATTAGCAGCAGCTCCTGTCTGGGGGTAGG